ATATAGGACTCAGAGATCATATCAATTTACTGAGTGGTTTCCATGTGCTAATCTCTATGTTAAGTAAATTTATATCCATTATTTTATTCATTTTACTGAATCCTTTCAGTAAGCATGAGGCTCTGGGGTTATGATGATGGACTCTTTGGTACATGGGCCAATGCTCCACCACTGAGCCAGGGTACAGTGGCCAGGGTACAGTTTGTTCTTGTATTTTTATTTATTAACTAGTGGCTCGTTGCAGGAAGATTCCTGCAAAAGAGCTTCCTGCTGCCTTCGCTGCCTGCTGTCGCTGCCCTGCCTGCTTCCCTCCCTTCTCCCCCAGCCTGCTTGCTTCCCTTCCTTCTCTCCCTCCCCACCCGCTTCCTTGCTTCTCCGAAGCTTCGCTCCCTCCTCAGCAATTAGCTTCTGTCTTCAGTCTTCGCTCTTGCCTGCATATGCAAATTAACCACCATCTTGTTTGGATTAATTTGCATAATCACTTTGATTGGCTTGTGGGTGTGGTGAAGGTGTGGTCAATTTGCATGTTTCTCTTTTATTAGGTAGATTTATTATTTTCCCTATGAACAGTTGTAAACTTACTTTTGTCTCACCTTGTACACTAATAGCCCAGTATAGAAGAAAAGCAGTAACTGTTCCAAATAGATTTCTTCTTTTTCAAAACATGTACTGATGGCAAAGTACCAAGTACTCAAATAAACAACAGGAAACAACCGAATAAAGCAAAAAACACAAACCCATTGGCATTTTAAATTTGAATGATCTGTAAAAGGATAATATCAAATGAACAGTGAGGTGGCACAGGATGGCCTTCCCCCAGTTGGAAAGTGGTGAACGGAATTGACATCAAAAGTCATGGAAGAGCAGAAACTGGTTTGGCTCAGCGGATAGAGCGTCAGCCTGCAGACTGAAAGGTCCCCCGGGTTCGATTCCGGTCAAGAGCATGTCCCTTGGTTGTGAGCACATCCCCAGTAGGGGATGTGCAAGAGGCGGTTGATCGATGATTCTCTCTCATTGATGTTTCTAACTCTCTATCCCTCTCTGTAAAAAAATCAATAAGATATATTTTTTAAAAAAGATGTGGAAGAAAAATCAATGGCATTTACCATGAGCTCAGTGGCAGAAAATTCACTTAAAGATTGATGCATGTAGCTTTACTTACAATCTGTGTTTGGATAAATATTTTGATCTCACACCCAGCCTTGTCAACAGTGCTTTTAATTGGCGCGGACCCAGGACTGCTGCTGTCCCTGGAGCTCAGCACACACAGCCCGAAGCAATGTCTGTGTGTGTGGCTTCTCACATTGCAGACGAATCACGAGAATTTTCGCTTCATGTCACACAGGGTTTTACAAAGTACCATACTTTAAAAAGTTATTAGCTTGCAAGAACATGTAATAAATAACTTCAAAATGCAATGGGTATTTAACCAACTTATCCGGCCACAGGTAAAGCTAGCAATGAAACTGCTGGTTCGCAATGTGTGAAGACAGATCAGAATAAGACGCGGCCTGCTGGGCTGCATCAGTCACGTAGGTTGTGGTTCAGTAGCTTGAGTCAATGCTTATGAATGAGTAGGTTTCAGATGAAAATGGGCATTTCTGTCTTATTTTGGAAATTCAGAAGACCTGACAACACTGGGCCTGCATGCTCTCTCACAAGGCAACAATGGGATGAAGCACTGTCCCTTTTAGAACAGGGCATACCGTCTCTTCTACGAATTCTAGACCAAACTGGGCCAAGAGAGGCATCACCGGAAACCAATGCCACTAGACCTCAATCTTGGACTTAAAAGTCCTCAGAACTGGGAGAAAAGAAATGTCTTGCGTAAGTCACTCAGACTATGGCATTTTGTTACGGCAGCTGAAGCTGATCAACACACAACTCAAGCTCCAGATGTGAGAGCTGTCTGACAATTCCGCCTCATGCTCTCCCCTCCACATGCACTGGCCTGCCATTTCGCTAAGCATATTCCCTCCCCATTCCTACTGCACCACTGTGGTTCCGATTGCATGATCCCTTCTGAGCTGGCTGCCTCTCTAACTGGAACTTGCATCTTATCTCCACGCGAGTGGACTTTAGCAGCCGCCCCATGCATGTAAGGATGCTCTGTGTGCAAGTTAGAATGGGACCGCACTACTGTCGCCATGAAGCCCTCACTGCCACCGTGGTTCAGACTCTTGTTCTCTTAGCACTTTGTTTCCTGTGTAGGAAACAAAGCGAGCGTCATGAGGATGGACCCACGGAGGAGTCCCAGCACATGAAAGCACCCCGAAGCCATACAGACGGTAACAAAGTGCTATGTGAGAGGTGTGAATAGAATGCAACATGGCTACCACGGAATTAAACATATATTCCTACTGGAGGGCGCGAGGCGGGTCTCCTGGAGGAGACATCAAATTGGAAGATGGGACTAGCCTAAGACTAATGGGCATGGAGCAAGGAGGGACCTTGAAGCAAGCCTGTCCTTGAACCTATGAGCTGTGTGTCCCCCAGTGCACATTTCTAGATAAATGAGTGAACGGGATCAGTGAGCAAGATGGCACCAGAAGCAAGTACTTAAGGTCTGTAAATCAGGCTTCTGATGCAGAGATTTGCAGCTAGACCTGTTCTAAATCCTAACAACCACCAAGAACCTTTCTGTGTTTAATTTTAAGTAAGCACAAAAGCTAATAAATAATAAATAAGCACAAAAGCTAATAAAAAATGTCCACCTGATATAACCGTGTGTGATTTATGATGATGTCATGGGGTGGAAGATACAACTCCCACCCAAAGTGTGAGCCGTTTGATTCATTGTCATTTCAGCTATGATGTCGATATATAAGCTCTATTGGGCTAACAGATGTCTTTAAAAAAGAGAGTCTTTCAACATGTGTTATAAGAAGTTAGCTTTTTGGAACTCACTGGTCCATTCTTTTTTTAAATTTAATTTTACTGATTTTTAGAGAGAGGGAGGGAAGGAGGGGCGACAGGGAGAGGGAGAGAGAGAGGAACAACAAATCGTCGTTCCACTCATTTATGCATTCATTGGTTGCTTCTTGTATGTGCCCTGACGAAGATTGAACCCACAACCTTGGCATATTAGGACGATGCTCCAACCAACTGAGCTTCCCAACAGGGCCCACAGGTCCATTCTTTAGATCATATGCCCCAGATTGCTTTCACAGAATTATACATATACTAGAGGCCCGATGCACCAAAATTCGTGCAAGAATAGGCCTTCCTTCCCCTGGCTGCTGGCACCGATTTCCCTCCGACACCCGGGACCTGGGCTTTGCTCTGGCCGCAGCTGGCAGGCGCCTGGGACCTGGGCTGCTTCACTCCGGCCCTGGCTTCGTCCGGAATGACCCTGGAAGGACGTTCAGTCTAATTAGCATCTTACCCTTTTAAAAAATATATATGGTATCTTCTGCTTCACATGTCCTTCTTTTTTTTAAAAAAAACATCTGCTCACTGCACAATCACATTGAAACAACATTATGTCACCACAACTCCAGGCCTTCTTTACTTTATTCTCTCATTTCTTGAGGCCACAATCCTCTCCTATTTGAGTCATTTTAATCTGATGCATTTAAGAAAATGTGGCTGGAATAACTGTCAATTAATTTCTTTCCAGAAAAATATGTGGGCCGGGATATCTGAAAATCTAGTTTACCCTCACACACAAACAGGGATTCAATGAGGCATGAGATTCTAGGAAGATAATTCTGTATTTCCAGACCTCTGGGAACACTGCTCTGTCACTTTCTAGAAGTCAGCACTGCCGAGGAGAGCTCTGCTTCCATCGGATCTGCTCCCCTTTTCAGGCAACCTGCTTGTTTATTTTTGTTCCCCGCCTCCAAATTAATTTTATCTTAGAATTCAGATATTTCATCAGGATATAGCAGCTGGGTTTGCTTTGTTTTAATCATAATATCTTGTTGTGGGAGAGACTTTTCAAACTGAAGACTTGTTTTCTAGATCTTAAATAAAAGCCACCTTTATTTATAAGCAGGGATCTTCCTCCAATCATGGAATAAGTCTTTCCCTGTCACGGCAGAGTACAGAACTGAATAATTCTACTTCTTCACATCTATCTCACAAAATTCGGGCCCACGGCCCACATCTTATTTTTTATCTTTATTTATTTATTTATTTTGCCTTAAAATTTAAAAGGCAACAAGTAGCACCAGGAATTCATGATTTTCTTTTTCTTCCACTCTCCAGTGAAGCGCGTGTAGATGTTTTTCGGTTTAACTTGTGGAGGGACTGTTAATGCTTGCTACTTAGAAGCTCTAAGAATACACCAGCAGACCACAGAGGAGTTTAATACTTTAAGACGCTGGTGATTTTGTGCCCACTTTCTCGCATGCAGTGAGCTCGGCGAGCAGCTGGGGGTGGGGGGGGGGGTGGGGGGAGGGGTTTCCACGCCCGCTGTCCGCTCCTGGGGGGAGCAAACATCCCGGAGCGCCAGGGCTGAACTCAGGCAGACAGGAGTGTCACCCCGGCGGCGGCAGCTCAAGTTATTTCTCCAAAGGGAACAAGCCACACCTAACCCAGGACTCGGCTATTCTTCTGGGACCGGAATAAGGGCGTTGCGGGGAAGCTAAACGGGCTCACAGTAACCCCCTCTTTGTGTGTTCTCAGAATGCAGCCTGATCACACCGGTGCAGGAAAGGAGACGCTCCAGCCAGCCTCCCCTGCGGATCGTAGTGTGGCGATGGGTCAGTCCAGGGGAGACAATTCCCGGAGGCGCCCATTCATTCCTAATGAGGGAGCAACGCGCCCGCGCCGCGCGGTGCAGAGAAGAGCACCATTACCCGAGTCCACATTGTCAGGGCAGGAATCGTTCCCGCAGGACTGGAGACCGATACACCGATCTGTATCCCGCGTCATCGCCACCCGGGGCGTGGATGCCGCCGCCGCGAGAGCCCGGGGAGCAGCGCCGGTCCCCCCCTTTCTCCTCCCCAGCCCCATCCCGCGCCCCCATCCCGAGCTCCGGCGCCGCCGGCACCTACCCAGCAGCAGCAGCCGGTGCGTCTGCTGCAGGTCCCGCTTCTGCTCGCGGAGCATGCGGTCGATGCTCCTGCTGACTTTCCTCGCCTCCCGCTCGGCTTCGCGCTCCTCGGCGCGCTGCGGGTCCGGGCGCCGCCGCCACTCCTTCTTCGGGGCGGCCTTGGGGAGCGCGCATCCCGGGTCCCCGCCGGCGCCCCGAGGGGGCGGGGTCCGGGCCGGGGCCGGCGCCGGGACCGATGCTGGAGCTGGGGCCGGGGCCGGGCCGGGCGGGCCGGCCTCCGGGCCCCCGAAGAGCAGCGGCCGCAGGCTGTAGCACAGACCCATGTGGGCGCGGCGGGCGGGCGCGGGGCGGCGGCGCGGGGTTCAGGCCGGGCCCTCGGCTGCACGCGGGTGCAGGGCGCGGGCGCGGGGGTCCGGGTCCGGGGACCCCAGCCCCTCACTGCCCGGGAGGGCCATCGTGCATCGTCCGCCGGGCGGGCGCAGGGGTGGCCGCCGCCCGGGCTGCGGGTCACCTGACAGCGCCCGCGCCGGCCGCCGTCGGCGGTCCCCGGGCCCGGCCCCCCTTACCGTAAACACCGCTGCCCCGCGGCCAGAGAGCCGGTCCCGTTACCGTAATCACCGCAGCGCCCGCGGGCCGCGCCACTGTAAATACCGCTGACGGGGCATCTCCATCCTCCTCCCCACGCCCCTCCTCCCCCGGGCCGCCCCCCCAGGCCGAGTCCAGCGCCGCGCGGGTCCGCGGCCCCGCAAACACCGCCCCCCGCGCGGCGCGCAGCTGCGGACGGCGCCGCAGGGGCGGTGGCGGGGCTGCGGCCACCGGGGCTGCCGTGGCGGCGCTTAGGAAAGCCGGCGTGGGTTGGATCTCGGGACGGTAGTGAATGAGAACGGAGAGGCATGGGAAGGGTCGGACACCAGCTTCCAGAACTTGGCATTCCTGCGTGTACCCCCGCAGCGGTCTCTGCGCCGGCCAGCCACTCCCTACACCAGCTTTTGTCACAGGCGCACGTGGCCCAGCGGGTTTGATCCCCGCCTGGTAGACCTTTGATCTTGACCATGTTCTCCAAATCATTGTCAACAGTTACCATACTTAACAAAAGAACTGAAAGTGAGCACCCGTGATCATCATGTACTGTTTTTGTTTGCTGAAGCAGGAATATGAAGCTGCACCCGCAGCCCATTTTTAAAAATCTCCAATATGTTTGGTGCAGAGAGCAGAGGTGCGTTCAGGCTGGTGCCCTCTTTCCCGGTCCTCTGGACACAAACCCCCAGAGACGTCCACTTCCCGGTTATCTCCCGCGCCATGTCCTTCATCTCATAGAGCTTTTGCAACGGATGAAAATTGCAATAGCTTTTAAGACCTCTCTGCTATAAACCGTGATCCTTAATTTTAAGCAAAATGACATGGACTAATAGGACGGAAAGTTAAATCTATTTATTTATTTATTTATTTAAAAAATATTTCTTATTTATTTATTTTTTTTATTTTTATTTTTTACAGAGAGGAAGGGAGAGGGATAGAGGGTTAGAAACATTGATGAGAGAGAGAGACATCGACCAGCTGCCACTTGCACACTCCCTACCGGGGATGTGCCCGCAACCAAGGTACATGCCCTTGATCGGAATCGAACCTGGGATCTTTCAGTCCGCAGGCTGACGCTCTATCCACTGAGCCAAACTTGTTTCGGCTAAATCTATTTAATATAAATCCCATAAATACAAGAGATTGGGCTGTTTAATGAAAAATAGTATGTCACACAGTTACACCTTACCAGAAAGATTGGCTTTCTGTCACTTGCGAGCAAGAGTCTTGACTATTCAATTAAATTTTTAAATAAAGAAATTGTAGACCCATAGTTTGTATTCATTTTAAGGTCTTGTTAATAACATACCATACTAGAGATCCGGTGCACAAAAATTAATGTGAGGGAATGGGGAGGGGAGGGGAGGGGAAGGGGAAGAGGGGGAAGAATCCCTCAGCCCAGCCTGCCTTCTCTTACAGTCCCTGAGCCCTTAAGGGATGTCCTACTGAAGGTTCCAGGAGTGGGCCTAAGTCTGGTCTCCCTCTGCAGGAGGCAACCTGCCTATCAAGGGAAGGTGCCAGCCCCATCACCCCTCCGTGCCTGCCCTCAGCTCTCACAGCCACCCTCGCTTGGTCCGGAAGGATGTCTGTTCTAATTAGCATATTAAGTTTTTATTATTATAGATAATGTTTTGGACTTAACATTATCTCCAAATTTTTGCCAAAATTATGCTGTACTTTTAGATCTTTGAATCTAAAGGAGGACTATAGCAAATCTAACTTGGGAAAACAGAAGTTATTAAAATCACTGTCATTTTCACTATTCAGTCACGCAGCTATCTGCATTTATCCATTAATTTATTTAATATTTATCAAGCACCTACAATGTGCTAGGCATTCTGGTTGGTACTGGGTGAGACAAAAGAAAGTGGGTCTTTGTGGAATTTATACACTAGTAAGATAGAACTATGTTCAGCCATATAAATGCAAATTGCTACAAAAAGTGTCCCAGAAAGAAAACTCTAGGTATAGATGACTTTACTGATGAATTCTGTAAGACATACAAGGAAGATAGTAATACCAGTTTTATATAAGCTCTTTCAGAATATGGAAGAAGGAAAAACAAAACTCAATGACTTTCCTGAATCCAGCACATCTTTGATACAAAAATTTGACACATGAACTATAAAGCCAGGAATTTTTAGGCCAACATTGCTCCTAAATATCCTATGTAATAGAGAGGTACTATGCAAATTGACTGTCACTCCAACATACAAGATGGCTGCCCCATGTGGTCAAAGATGGCTGCCCCCATGTGGACACAGGGGAGGGCAGTTGTGGGTGATCAGGCCTGCAGGGGAGGACAGTTGGGGGGGAACCAGGCCTGCAGGGGAGGACAGTTGAGGGGACCAGGTCTGCAGGGTGGGGGGGCAACTAGGGGCAGCCAGGCTGGCAAGGGAGGGCTATTAGGGGTGACCAGACTGGCAGCCTTTTATGCCATGAAAGTACCAGACAGTCTGCAGCCTCCAGGGACCAGGTAGCACAAAGAAAGTCTCTGAAGGGAGATTCTGGACTAGGTGGTCGCCACTCTCGATGTCACACCATCATATTCATTCACAGCAACAGAGACAAAACCCCAGCAACGGGGCCAGAATGGAAGGTGCATGATGAAGCTGGCTCTCCTGGCTCGAGAGGCTCCATTGTGCTGTTTTCTAGGCCCCCTGCGCAGGGACCTCCTACTGGGAGCTTGAGGTTGGCCATGGTGGGAGTATTTTTATCACGGAAACGAGCAAATTCTAGGAATGAGGACTTTTTCTTTTTTCTTTTATATATATATATATATATATATATATATATATATATATATATATTTTTTTTTTTTTACAGAGAGGAAGGGAGAGAGATAGAGAGCTAGAAACATCGATGAGAGAGAGACATCGACCAGCTGCCTCCCGTACACCCCCTACTGGGGATGTGCCCTCAACCAAGGTACATGCCCTTGACCGGAGTCAAACCTGGGCCCCTTCAGTCCGCAGGCCAACGCTCTATCCACTGAGCCGGTTTCGGCTGGACCTTTTCTTTTTCTTGGAGATCCTGCTTTGCCAGTATAGCACTGGGGACAAAGTGAGAAATTCATTGTCCCCTGGGGGAAACAAGGTATCTAAAGAGAAATTTGGTTGAGTTACAGGGAAGTACATGTTATTCTTTGCATGTATGAGGTTGGCGGTAGCAATTTGTTTTTCTTTTTTTTTCATGCTGGAAGTTGCCATAAGGTGGGCTTCCCAGAGGCTGATTCCAAGACAAACATTCGGATGCAAGTGGTTTGTTAGGAAAGTCCTCCCAGAGAAGCCAGTGAGACCAGAGAAGCCAGTGGGCAGGAGCCACACACCAGGTGGGACTTCAGGGGTGCTGGAGCCTGAGCTGCACAGGCAGAGGTGGTCCCGCCTGGCCGAATGGCGGGCTCTCCTGTGCCTCCGGGATCCCCCTCCAGCTTTGGGCTGCTCAGGGGGCCTTAACTCCCCGTATGTCCAGTTCTCAGCACATCTAGTTGAAACCACTCCAGCACCCCAAAGATTGTCTTCTGAGGAAGGCTGCAGAGGCGGAAGCTGCAGACTTATGTCCTGAGGGTCTGGGACAGCAGCCGCGGCACCTCCTCCAGGGTGGCACCTGGAAGATGAGTGGTTTTATCCACGCTCCTTGGCTCCTGGCCCATTGTCCTCACTGGTCTGTCCCAAAGGCCCCTCTCCTATTTTCCTGTTCCTGCTTTATCCCCAGTCCCAACTCCCATGTGTCCCCATAGGTACCCACTCTCACGTGCTGGAGATCAATACCAGTTACAACACGTGGGTGTGTTTAAAGATTACAGGTTTACATAAGGCAACTGTGTGTGTTTTGCGTGTGGACATGCATGTATGTGCAAGGCTGCCTAGACTTAGTTTTATTATTATTATTTATTATTATTATTTTTTCTTTTTAGGGAAACCAGAAACACAATTTTTTGCAAGAAATGGCATAGTGTTTAAATGTCTGTAACCAATGCAAACTTCCTTAAAATTCTCTGTGAACCAATAACCTGTCTCTGCTGGTTGGACGGAACCAATGAGGTGTCAGTGTATGATCTGTCGCTCAGGGCCTGAGGCCCACGCATGCACTTTGCTTCACATGGTTAGGTGGTCACCCTTCCACACCCCAGGAGACATGGTAACTCTCTTAGGGTGAAAATTGTGAGAGTCCATTTACCCAGAAATAAACAGTCAAATCAGCAGTATCTTCTCTGCGCCTCTTTTTAAAGAAACATTGATTTCCCTGAAATTGGCTATTGATCTTATTGGCATTCATACCAAAGTTTTAATTAGTGTTTTCCTTAGAAAGTTATGGGTTTCTCCCTTTGTTTTTCAGAAGAATGCTGAGGAAAGGGGTAGATATGTTTTATTTCTAAATTGCAGCTTCAAAATGTAGGTGCTTTATAACCACAACGTTCCTTTAAGATAATTATAAGATGAAGGAAGGTAAGTGATAGATCCTCCCTTCCTCCAGCTGATGGACAGACGTAAACCACACCTGCGGCCCTACATTCCTGTGCTCTGAACCACCAATCAGCACCTGCCAAATACCCTAAGCCCCTCCCCCATTCCTAAGTCCCTAGGTCCCTAATCACCAATCAGCGTGTGCTGAGTGCCCTAAGCCCCGTCCCCTATCCTTAAAGGTGCTTGTACCCCAGTCCTCGCTCTCTTCCACCCCTCTCTCTGGAAGCAGCCAGCAGGGGTACCCTTCCCTCCAATAAAGCCTGTGTGTGTCCTGCATCCCGGTCTCCGGTCACTTCTCTATTTAATCTATCAGTAAGGTTTTTAAAGCTTCCTTTTTTAGTGCATTTCCAGGAATACCATCCCTGCCCTCCCTCGCACAGGCCTTAGGTCTGTGCCCAGGACCCCCTAGCCCATGGAAGCTCGCCTCCCCCACCCCAAGTCTGACTGGGGATGTGGGCTCATTTAGAGTTTCTTGCTGAGATGAACTGCTCA